AGCAAGGAAGCAAGCAAGGAAGCAAGCAAGGAAGGAAGCAAGGAAGCAAGCAATCAAGGAAGGAAGGATGTAAAGATAGATAGTCTGATGGATTGCTGGTTAAATGGATAGATTGATAGATGGATAAATAGGTGGGAGGATGGATGGATAGGTGGGTGGGTAGATGGATGGATGGGTGGGTATTGGTGGGGGTAGATGGGTAGTTCAGTCTAAACTTAATACTTTTGTCATATACCTGTACGTTCCTCATTGTCCTTGTCGTAAGCTCTGCAGGTATGGGTAACTTCCATGCTTCACCAACTGAAGGAATATTCCTTTTGAAAAAAAAAATTTCACAATACAACAATCAACATCAGTGTCAGTGTCAAAACAAAAGTTTCCATTTACTGTGGTTTTCTATATTCTGTGAACTCAGACATTTCAACGGCTTGTTGTGAAATTGATTTTTACTACCACCAGTCATAAATATAAAAGGAACCAACTGATTATCTTTGATTGACGGCAGCAAAAAAAAAAAAAAAAATTCAGGGTGCAGCTTGTGTTTGCAGAAATCAAAAATCCCCGTTGCATAAAAATAAAATTCATTACTCAAGAAATAAACCAACATGACATAGGAAATGTCTTTTTTTTACAGAACAGTAATATCAAAAATATACAGAAACCTAATCTTACTTTTTGACATTAGGTGCTGATTTTGCAGCCATGGCTTGCTTTGCCTGAAGTGCCTTAATCCTTGCATCTATTGCCAAGTCTGTAGCTCCTGTAACAAGATTTATAAAATACATTAAGGCAATTTGAGTTTGGGATTATGAGTTTGTAAACTGAGGCAAGGCTATCATTCAAATGAAGTTCAGAAAAGGTGACATTTCTAGGAAATAACCATACCTAGCTGCAACACAGGTAGTGGAATTTATATCTCCTATGCTAAGGAGTTCTACAAAAAAAATCCCTCCCATACCCCCAGGAAATCTTAGGGAAACTTCAATCTGCCTGTATGGCGGTTGTCAGCATTAAGATATACATAGATTAACTTAAAACATTATAACACCAATTGTAATACAAACAAAGGATAGTATTTTCTATTATAATCATACCATATTTTTTAGCTGCACTGTAACACATTATAGCATCACTATGAAAGAGAAAAAGAAAGGGACTTCAACAAGATGGTTTCTGAGAATGAAAAGAGATTTAACAACAACAACAACAAACAAAGAGTTCTAAATACCCTGGTTGATCACATGCTTCATATAGAATCCCAAGGTCTGTCCAGGCGGCTACATGCATGGGGTCTAGTTGGATGGCACAAACATATGCTTGGAGTGCATCCATTGGTTGATTCTGCTGCTGATACAGCACCCTAACGAACACCATGACATAAGAAGGATTAATGATGACAATGTCAGAACTTTTAATAAAAGGTGGATACCGGAGGTTTATTGCCAGATACTTCACCTTAAACTGCAGGCTATTTTGACAAAAAATTAATTTATTGCCAAATATAGTTATATAAAAACACCAGTGGATTCAGCCCCCTACTTTTTAGGACTAACTGCCTACTTCAAATACACTATATTGTTGAAAGATCTGAATGTGAATCATGGGTAATATGACCAAAATCCCCAAACTGTGCAGTAGGCCCAAGTTATGATTGCCCTGCTTATTTTAATTGATAATTTCAAACATTCCATGTGTATTCTTTAGTATGCTGACATTTTGGCTCCATTTTGATCACATACATGTGAACCTATAAATGAAAATGGGTGCAAAAATCATACAAAAGTGGCCTGGCTGTCATAACAAATCTCAGGTTCACAGTTTGGTGATTTTCATAGTACATGCTCATATGGAGAAAGGGTCAACGTAAAGTGCATGTCTTTGAATATCTCAAAATGCTATAAGGATGGATAGATGGATAATGAAAATGAAAAGCAAACTTTTTAAGCTTAATTACCCTATAGAACACCAAGTATCAGCATTGGCTTCTGATTTGTCAATAGCATGTCGATAAGATGTGAAAGCGTCATGTACCTTGCCCTGCATAGCATAACACCTGATGGAAGAAAAAGATGTAAATATCTTATTATAAATTAATTTTTCCAAGCTGTTTTATAGTTTTCATGCATTTTTAGGGTTGTGTACTTCTTTCAAGAAATATTAATACACCCTTGATCAAAATAATATCTATAATAATAATAATAATATCCTTTTGGACCATGAGTCATTCTCTTGACTAACATCTATTAGTTTTCTGATAATGCTTGACAAAATATCTTATACATACTAAAAAAAGTACAAATTTCTACTCATAATATGTAGCCTGAAATAAAAACTAAAGACGTGAATTGATGTGCTCTAAATCAGAGCCATTTTCACCCAAAAGGGGGTACCCCCTTAATTTGAGGATCATAACATAGCATCAATATCCTTGAGGACTATACTAATGCATAGCTTTAGCATACCTTCCAATCAAATACCATGTTGAACCATTACTAGGGTCTGTTTCTATGGCCTTTTGTAATAACTGCACAGCTTTCTGCATCCTACTTGCTCTATCCCCAAGGTGTTCCTTGTTATAGTACATCCAGCCTGTAGAAAACACAAGATTAACTCAGATAATAACCAGAGGATCCCTGTGGGAATAAAAACATACTCTAGAAGTATCCCAGTTCCAGGGGGGTACTTTTGCCCATTTAGGGTAGGGATGTGCCGCTGAGCCCTCTGAGCCCTGACCCTGTTCCAGAGTAAAATCGCTGAAATTCATACCCTGTTCCAGAGCAAGATCGCTGAAAACCATACTCTGTTCCGGTATTGTGAAAATAGATACCCTGTTCCAGAGAGGAGAAAGCATGATTTCATATACCCTGTTCCAGAGTAGAATTGCTGAAAACCATACCCTGTTTGGTGGGATGTACCCGTATAGCGAATATAGGAGAGTACCCCACTGGGCCCAGTTCTATGTAAGATTTCAAAGATGCTCGAGTGGCTTCATACTATAAATGTTGCAGATGCAGACAATGAAAATGAGGCATTCTTGGGTAGTGTTCATATTAAGAAACCTTTAGAACCCATAGAGTTATGGTCAATTTCTAAAACTTTTGAAAAATGTTTTTTTCTGAAGTGAGCTATATTTCTTCAAAAAGTCATAACCTTGGATCTGAATGAAAAGAAACTTCAAAGTATTTCTTTATTAATATAATTTCAAACTTATTATATGTGTTTTCCATAGCATGCATAACGCCTGAAAAAGGCCTCATTTTCGAATCTAAGCACGCAATACTTTTGACAGCGCTTGTGCATCTTAAAAAAGATCGATTTAGATAATTGCTTGATTTTAACAATTGAGTCCTGTGGTGTGGTTTTAGAGAGGTGAAAGAGGGAGATTGAAGGAGCTTTTTTTCTTTCCCTCTTTTAATCTCCTCTCTCCCCCTCCCTTTTGTTCTTTTCTTCACAAATTCCACAGGAATCCCATAAGTTGCCTGTATTGGTATTAAAATCATTGTAATGTTCAAGCATTCATTTACCTAGCTGTTTGTAAGCATTGGCTTTAATACCATTAGACACCCCAGGTGAGTTGATAAGAGTTTCATACATCTCTTGTGCCTCTTGGCACTTGTTTTGCATCTCAAATAGATGACCAAGATGAAAATGAACTGAAAAACAAATCAAAAGAGATATATAAAACATGTCTCTATAAACAGGTACACAGAATCCAAAGATAAATAAAACATGTCTCTATAAATAGGTAATCACAGAATCCAAAGACACAACAGGGACCTTAAGGCAAGGCCTAATGATGTGTATGTCAATGGCTGGACATGATGGCCAGCCCTTTTAAAATGACCAATCAATGTGACTGGCCTAAGAAGTGTTTGGGCTGGAGAAGTATCAATTTTGACTGGATAGTGTCTGTTTACTGGTCATTATTTTTAGTCCAGTACTGGCAGCAAGGGCTGAAATTTTTTAATGGAGTACATCTTGACATACTTTCTTCTTTCGATAAGGAGCAAGGATTGGAATCCATTAATGCCATGTGAAAATGCTGCAAATAAACACACACAAAAAAACTATTAGACCCCACAAGCTTTAAGCTTTAATCATTACCGTGGAAAAATAAAGGTACTCTATTCTATTCTATTCTAAGTAAATATCATAAAAGATACTAAAGAATGGGAACACACAAGACATGAATGACAACAGAATAAAGAAAGGCAATACCATTATAAAAATGTGAAATCTGATAGACACTTCATCTTAAAGCCACACTCATTAATAAACTCATTGAAAAGATTATTCAAGTTTTTGGTACCTCAGACACCACCAACAACAGTCTTTTAGAAGACTAAAACACTTATACAGATGATTACACTCAATATACTCAAACCTAATCTACATTGGACATTTCAGACCACTTCACGTACTCTCTTAAAAAAAAGATTCTTTGTTCAAGTTTCATCAATATTCAAGTATCAAAGAAATGACACTCAAGGGAATGACAAATGATCTGAAATGGGAAAACAGTGGATTTGACCTAGCTATTATTTACCAAGTTTATCTACCTTTATACTGGCTTCATAATTATTCTGGGCTTTATATATGATAGCCAATCTTAAATGAACTTCATTGGAGCAGCTGAATCCAGGATCTAAGTAAAGCACTTGTTGAAAGACTTTTGTTGCCCTGTGAACAATAATGAATTCTACTTGATTTTTTTTTACTTGATTTATTTATTTATTTTTTTTGTTGAGTTTTTTTGTTGATTTTTTTTGTTGATTTTGTTGATTAAAAAAATTTTTTTTAAATTTAATTTTTTGATTTGAGAGCTGATTATTAACACAGATAGTCTAAACATTATGTTTAAATGCAAGCCACTTATACATTATTCTAAAATTAAAAAATATAATACAAAATGTAGCTTTACATGTTCCATGTGTAAACTGGAATACAGATTTAAGTTTACATACCACTGGTAAGCAGAGAAATTGAAATAGACCAAGCCAATACCATATAAAAATGGTGCGTCCTGGAAAAACAAAATATAGATTGGGTTATCACATTGTATCACATCTTTTTATTATAATAATAATAATGATGATAATGATAATAATAATAATAACAATAATAATAATAATAGATTTGAGTAGTATTCAAACTCAATCTATAACTTTAGCAATCATAAACAAACAAGAAATCGTAAGATAATTGGATTATGGTATTAGTTTCACAAATTGTGTTAACAGTCAAAACAGTAATAGAAAAACATAATATATCTGTGTAATTTAATGAATCTATTTATATAGATGTCTAAAAAATAAATTGATATCATTTCTTGTTTAACAGAAGCACTCGAAAACACAAACTAAGTTAAACTAAATAAATTCAATCATAATTTCAATTTGTTTTGAAAGAGAAACATGATTTAAAGCCTTGGGTAGAATAATAGGAAAAAACGTTTTGACCCTGGATCTTATTACAAGAAAATAATGTCCTCCAAAATAGAGATGAAATTCTCATTATGAATTCCAATATCAAACAACCTTTAAAAGAAATATAGTTTAAGAGTTTAGGTATTTTCCCCTTAAGCTATGAGTAGGATGATATAATAAACAAAACAGAGAATTTTTAAATGAAACTAGAAAATTGGGTAATAATGAAAGTTATTTAAATATCAGAGAGGGGATTTTCCCTGAGTACTGGTAGAAGGTTAGGTGATTTTATGTCCAACTAAGTTTTCTTACTTGGAATGAGCAAAAGTTAGCTGTAGTAGTTTTCTTCATTAAACAAGGCTTTTAAATAAGTCAGATTTCTAAGTTTTAATTATTAATGTGATTATGACCTAAGGCTTTCTTTGTCTAGGGATGATGAAAGTCAAGGTCTTGCGAGGAATCAAAGTTTTAGCAGAGCAGCTCAATTATGTAAGATCTTTTTGATGGTGACAAATGTTTAATTGATTCTTGGAATGCTGATTTATGACAATTCAAATAGATTCAGCTGAAACTTATAAAAAAGGGGAATTACAGATTCTAGTTCATATTGATAAGGAAAAAGTACCTTGTCCAATATACAGAAAAAATATAATTCAAGGAGTCTTTTTTTTGAATAAGGTTCCTTAGTTTAGCTTGGTTTTTGTTGGGTTTCTTAGTATTAAAGTATTTTATGTAAGGATCTGTGTTCCAAAGCTTTAAACTGAAGAGGTTTGAACACAGCATCAGCTAGGCCACCCTCTGAAAATCCATAAAACATCACTGTTACAAGTAAATTATTCCTTGACTAATGCATTTAAAACAAAAATGAAAACAGTCATACCTTCCAATAATCTACATTAGGTAGGTTGTAAAACTTCTGGTAAGCAGACAAAGCTAAGAGGATAAAAAGAAAAGAAAACTGTATTAAAGTGGTGGAAGCCATTGTGATGCTGTGATAGATGGAGGGGCCAAAGTAATATTAAACACACGTTAAAGTGATTTCATTTGAACCAAAAAAAGATTTACATTCGTACACTGTAAAATAAAGTTCATGAAAAGACCTCAAGGTTGAGTTTTAAAGGAAAAAAGGTCAGGTTTCGTTGCTTTAAGTTTGTTACCAACCTTTAGGTAAATCTTCAGTAAGTAAGTGAAGATGACCAAGCTTGCTGAAGATCGCTGGATGGGCTGATTTTCCTTTTTCCTGCAACTCTTTCTCAAAATAAACCACACCCTACCAAGTGGAAATGCAGTGTTAACGATTAAATCTGGGTCAGGGGATAGACGTTCCGATCTCAAATCCACGGCGGTAATTATAAACATCATACACTATTACAAATGTCTGCCATCTTATGTCACTCACCCACACCAAACTTTGCTAGAGTTTGGTAAAAATCGAGGGCTTTACACCAAAACTTAGCTCCTACCTTTAATAATAACGATCTGTGGTTTAGATTTGGTAGAGATGGGTCACCAATCGGATCGTGCTGTCGTAGAAAGCCATACAACCGGCTTAAAAACAAAGTAGAAAGATTTGTTGGTGAGCCCAAATTCAACTTCATCTACACAAGCTAAAAGCGCTGTCTGTGCATTCTCCTCACCTATCGTAGTTGGCCAACAACTCTTTTTCCCGATCGCTTAAGATCTCCACTTGGGAAACCATTGAGCATATTAACCTCCAAGTCTTCTAACTTTAAAAAATACCCTTTTCTCAGCACACAAATTTGTGTCAAAGAAGAATTTTCAAGCCAACACAAAAACAAAAGACCAGCTAGCCAGTAGTGGACACCGAACTTGAGCCGCTTCTTTCACGGCTTCTAGCTCCCTAACACGCCCGTCCAGAACATTGTAGATAAAACTGCACTTTAGCTTCAATTCTTCGCTTCCGACATACAGCAGAATTTCAGGTTTCAGTCGTAAATATCATTGTAATTCAGGGTATTTTTCGATCCCACCGGAGGGGTATAACAACACGCTTCACGCTCAAACACATAGCCAATCCCATAGACCAATCATATCACGCCGTCAAGTCACGTGCAGGATTCCAATAGTTGACGATAGCAAGATGCAAATGAACCATACCCTTGTTGTTTACCGCGACCAGCTGACTAATTTTCTCTATCAGATATTTCTTCCTCGAAGCTAGCTTTTCTAAGTAGCATAATATTTCTAACTTGAATTTTGGTTCAAATTTAATCTTCAATGAATAAACCTGAGTTTTATTGCCATGTGTATCGAATCAATAACATTCGGCGCGAAATTGAAAGCGTTGTCAGCACGGTCCTATAAATTTTTTTAAGGACTTGTTGCATGTATTTTGTCGCCATCTGTTATTTTTATCTCTTTGGCATTTAATATAACAATTTTTCTTTCTTCTTAACCAAAACTATGATTTGAACTTCGGAAGAATAAATTTGAAACTGCTACCTAGACTCATAGTATATGCAGCGTATCTTATATAAATAAACAGTTTCATTTTCCATGTCTAAACCATTTCTTATTTACTTCTTATATTTTAGACGAGGTCTAAGCTAGGTTATACCCCAATAATTTACTTACTAGTACACCGTTTCCGCCACAAGTCTGTCTTTCAGCTAACAACAAACCTTCCGTGCTTTCCCTAGTTATCTTGTTTACAGAGAATATTTTAACCATTCAGCCGTTGCGACAGGATTTCCACCAATCCTGAGACATTTGTTATTGCTATTGTTGATAAAAGATAATTCGCTGAAATCGGGGAAAAAAAATTGATTTCTGACTCACGCAACAACCTTGCAACTTTCTCAGCTCACACCGCCTCATTTATTTATACATTTCCGTGACAGGCGAAGTGAGCAACGTGACAAATAGCACGTCTTCTCCGATTGGAAAGTGCAATCATCTTAAAACGAGAATTATTATCACTGATAAATTTGTTTTGTAAGAACGAAAGATGGATGGAAAAGAAAGGGAGAAAAAAAGCTATTTTTTTCAATTCGTGACCCCAAGATTGTCAGGCCCCCAATCATAACATTATACTAGGCGATCAATAATATATCTCACAGGAGGAGTCTATGATACTGATTCATTAATAAATCAGACTTGGGGGTCGGTTTTATTTGACATGAAAACGGGAAAAAGAAAGTTAATTAAAAGGAAAATTATCTAAATGTGGTTAGCTTGAAAATAACAGGGTTCTAAATTGATGATACATTATATGGAAACATCCTCATTGTGGTCATATTATCAACTTTCGGCAATAGAATACCTTCCTTGAGTGCATACTAGGTCAAATCTAAGTTAGATATTATGATGTACGGGAAGTCACGAACCCATTTGCTCCCCATCTGTGATGGGCTTCCTGTGGTTTTTATTCATCTCAAGAGGGGAAAAATTGACGCAAATATTTAGAACTTTATTCATTTCCTGTGATATAATATTTACAATACAAAATGATTATATCAATATAAATACTTGGTCAAACCGATTTTTAAAAAACCCAGTTTCGAAAAGAATGTAAAAGAAAATTTTAAAAAATCCCCCAAGAGGTAAGAGTACGGGTGTTCCCTTTTAATGTTAAATAAATAATTCAATTATAATTATGGATACCAGTTTCTACTTCTTCGTACGGCTTCTTTCCATTCTTTTATCGTTTTCTTGTATTTTTCTCGAATGGATGCCTTGGGCTGATATAGCGCATGCGTACATCGAATTGCTTTAAGTTCGTCGCGTGATTTCCAAACACCTATATGAAAACGCAGAGATATTTTTCAAAACTCAGCCTTTCTTTTAGTTTATGGGTCGGATTTATGCATCCCAGTGTCGGATGTATTATTGGGGAAAGGGTAGAGGAGGCATGCTACCGAAAGGTCTATAAATGACACGTGCTACATTTCTTTCTGGTGGGGGAGGGCAAGGGAGAGCTCGCAACCCACAATGAAGTGAGATGATGCGTCAAAGGAAGAGAAAGGAATGAAACAAATAGTGAATGAAACAAGCGAAAAAATGAGTGAATGAATATCCTACCTGATGCCATCCCGGCAAGGAATGCCGCACCAAGGGCAGACATTTCAGTCTGAGAAGGTTTATCCAAACTTTGTCCAGTTAGGCTACTAGTCAGTTCCATCACAAAATCATTATTACAAACGCCACCATCTGCCCTGAGATAACGATTTGAAAATTATATGTTAAAATAAAAAATACTGGAAAGTAAGATAGGAAAAAAATAATTCAAATTGTGCCATAGACTTAAGAAAACTCAGTATGGACGTCCGCAAGATTTCGATTGCTTAGAGAAGCAATAGCCCACGTTCGATATCTAGTTGCGAACCTTTAGTTGTTTGGTACTTCATGTATTATACAAACGCGTCGATCACCAAATGCATTTATTGGTAGGAATAATTGGTAAGTTTCAGTCGGCAATGATAAGAACATTCTGGTAGAAATGCTAGTCAGTTCACTACATTGAACCGTTAGTTAGAAACTTTAATAGGTTATTGCACATCCCTCTTTAATAATGTTATTGTATTATTATAATGCAATAGACCGTTTTCTTAAGGTTGCGTGTGCATCCATCTTAACGGGCCACAAAACTGAAAAACGCAGTAAAATTGAGAAGACAGTTTTATATTTAAAGAGGAGAGTAACCAATTTTAAGAATTCTTATCGAAAAAAAGATCATAGCAATGTATGATAATGCTCGTGTTCTGGTATCGTGGTCCGTCAAGTTCCTTAAGTTTGGATGCGCACGTAACCTTGAGAAAACTGTCTATTTTGAACATTTTATTCTATGCTAGAATTATTTCATGTTATTTTATGCTAGAATATTAATATCTCGAACGTGGCGACCCACTTCCAGGCGGGCTTATCGTTTGATAAATGAGGACGCCCCTTTGAAGTTGCTGAGCATTAAACCAAAACGACAAGAATTTTACCATTCTAGAGTGCAGTCATTCGTTTACGTTACATTTCCCAAGGTCAGTGTGCGGTGGATGACGTGTCAAAGGGGAGGCTTGGATTGACCGTAACAAAATTTGGACATCGCAGTGTTTAACTTACTTTATTGATGACATGACAGGAACTTGAGTTTCTTCTAGGACAGTTTCGTACAGTTCCATAAACCTGTATTGCAGTACATAAAAATATGTAAAAATACTTTTATCTGTCCTATTTACTATACTCTTCCTTTCAGTTCAGGGCTTCGGGTTGACAAAATGGGCGTCTTTTTCAACCAGCGCAGATCAAGTTTGACGTTCAGCTTCTTTTTGCGCCAAATACGCCACCGGGCCCGAATTGATGCGCAAAAAAAACCCCAAGTAAATCGTCAATATTATATTTTCGTGGTCTTTTAGAACATTAGTGAGTGCTTTTAAAAGAAAGTCGATGTTACGAGGGACGCAAAAGAAAATGATTGAGTAATACACGAAAAACCCTATGGGATTCATCAATATTATATTTTCGTTTGTTTTTGCCCAGAACATGCGTGAGTGTGACTGCGTTAGTGATTTTCAAGTCGCTTAATGCGTGATGCGAAATAAAGTGAAAGATAAACGAACCCGACAAGCGGGCGTCTGGCGGTAAATGTGAAAGAAGGGAAGAAGATAGCATAATCCATATCATAGTCTGACAGCAATCCTGATACCATAAGGAAGAATTAAAAACATGAGATGGGAAGGGGAGGGGAAGGCAGTGGAGGGGAGGGGAAGGCAGTGGAGGGGAGGGCAGAGAAGTGAAGAACTTTAGGAAGATCGATTCCAAAGAAAAACCTCTAAAATAAGTTATGATATGCAGATAGATTTAGGTGCCAACGTTTTCTTTTCTTTTTTCTTTAAAGTCAAGTTTGTAATTGTATATTGTAATATTAGTTTTTCTTTTGTCAATTACAATGTTTTGTGTTTTATTGTATGCACTTTCATTTGATATAGATTGGAAAATAGAATTGATAATTTCTAAACAAACGCTGATTCAATAAAATTAGTTGTGATGTCTTACCTAAATGCTATGGACTCTAGAATTGCTCTTACAATATGACTCTTTGTTGTGGAAGCTTTTATTCCCATCAGGGACACACAGGCCTTGTTGTCATTGATTGGAGCCTGAAAAACCAATACAGACACAGCAAGGGCTTAGACAGGGAAATGTTGTAGGGGAATCCTCCAATTCCACACAAGACTGGGTTTGGGGGAGGGGGAGGGGGGTTTAGGGGAATCCTCATATTCCACAAGAGACTGGGTTTGGGGGGAAAGGGGTTGTAGGGGAATCCTCCCATTCCACACAAGGCTGTACATAGCCTTTTTCAAGGTAAAAATATATACTGTAACCTCCTGAACGTTGTGATGAATTGACCTCTGCTAGGAACCCAACCCCCCCCCCCCCCATAGAAATGCCTTCTAAGTAAGGATGGCATAGATATAACTAAAAACATATAATTTCAAATAGAAAGGAGACAAGTGAATTGAAAGTGAATTGAAAAATGTGCAATATTATTGAAATGTGAAAGGAAGGAAACTTAAGGAGGGAAAAATATAGGAAAAAAAGAAATAGTCCTTCCTTTTTTTTCGTTATTCCTAAATTTATTTCTAAAACACATTCAGTGCACACTAACCTGTAAGCCATGAAAAGCTGGGACAAAATAGACATCATCAGAACCTATTAAAGAAGGAAAAAACCACAAGATTAAAACAACAAGATCCAACTAGATAAATAACTGACAGGGGTAGGGTGTGGAGATGTCAACCTCTCCCTCCTCTCGCACAATCAAAATTACTCCCTGAAATAAGCAGCAACAATAACAACAACAATATCATCAGCAACAATATAAACAAAAAAAAACACACTTATTTTACTTACTTTCTACAGAAAATGCCATATCACTAGTTTGACTAGCATCATCAAAAAAACCTACCAAAGAATAGATAATAAATTTATGACGATTCATGTTTTAATATTTTTTAAAATGTAATTGATAATACTCTATGCAATACTTACCCATTGATTTGGACCATTCAATAGCAGTAGCAGTTCCTGAAGCATTCCCTTCCGCCATGTAGACTAACTCTGATCCAATTTTCCACGCTACTAATGGGTACAAACCTATGAATAGAAGAGAATGTTTAATTTGTTTAAACCTGAAAACTTATATCAAGGACCAAAAGACTGGTCACAAATTAGCATTTGAACTTGTTAGGTCTTTTGCTTGATTTGAGGATTTTTCTCTGTGTTTTTCAGTTTTCTTCCCTTTGTAGAACCTAACTAGCTAAATCCCTATTTGATCTGTGAGTTAGCCATGCCCTGACTTTGATCCGCCCAGAGGTAATGTTTCAGGGTTTGATCTGTGAGTTAGCCATGCCCTGACTTTGATCCGCCCAGAGGTAATGTTTCAGGGTTTGATCTGTGAGTTAGCCATGCCCTGACTTTGATCAGCCCAGAGGTAATGTTTCAGGGGTTTGATAAAATTTAAAGTTTTCCATGTCTAAAGCATACACTATATTTGAGTCACTAGCCTTGGTAAACCCAAACAGTGTAGTCAGGAAAAGCTGCATTGCCCTTTCTACCCTATGCCTACTATGCTTGGTATAAAAAGTAGAGGGTTTCACTTTTATTTGGGGACACCTTAAGCTTAGAAGATGAAGCCCAGGGGCGATTACCATTTAAACCAAACCATCCACTTAGAAATTCATTAGCTAATGGTAAAAAAAGAGTGGGAAACTTTGACTTTCAAAAAATGGGACACGTCAGCTCACATGCATCTATCAAAAGAACCAAAAAGAGGAGTAAAAGTGAATTAACGAGTTTTTTTCAAGAAAAAAAAGGAAATGGAATGATGCATGTTATTAATTTGTTTTCCAACTGGAATTTCTGATTTTTCTGAGTAAATGTTAAGCACCCCTGATAAAAGATGGAGTATAAATTTTAGATGTAAGACTGTGTATCTACCTGCTACTGATGCATGAGGATATTTTCCTGTGTTGACACAAATAAATGTTCCTGTGCCCATGGTACACTTGACATCACCAACATCAAAACAGCACTGACCAAACATAGCTGACTGTTGATCAGCAACCTAATGTCAAAAACATAGGAAAATACACTGTCACAAGACCTTTTAAACAAATGTTGGGAGGAGGAAGGGTGGGGTAGGGGTGTGTGGTAAGTAGACAAAGTAGCACACCACACCAAAGACTGCAGGACTCATTCATTCATTATTATTGCATGTTGTAAATGGAATTAAAGGAATTTTGATGTTTTCGTTTTACTCACAGTATTCATTAAAAATTATGGAATTATAGATCATTAAAAGTATAATTATTATTAACTTCTAGTCAAATAGTAATGTAGGTATTGATATTGTATAGTACCCTCCCCAAATATCTCAGGTCTACCTCTAACGTGTTAATAATAAATTCAAGATAAAAAATGATTCCCTTATTATTTTTAAACCAATAAGAATGCGCATTATGATAAAATGTACTTACGACTGCTCTAACAGGAATTGGAGCTCCAAAGATGTCTTTAGCAGTATCACATATTGTACCACTAGGGTATGAAAATGAAATAAATATGACAAAGATTCTCAAAAATATCTAGACTATGGTTAGCATAGGAGGAAAATGTGAGCATCCCACTGCAAAGAATATAAGGTGAGTTTACATACCTAGTATCAACAATTTTAGGTAGTATTGATGCTGGAATATTTAATACAGTTGTGATTATAGAACTCCATTCCATCTAAAAAAATAACATCAAATACCTGGTCTTTAAGTGGGAATAGATAAAATGAATGAATGAATGAATGAATTGATGAATGAATGAATGAATGGAAATATGAATGAATGAATGAATGAATGGATAGAAGTATTCTTGAATGAATGAATGGATGAATGAACGAATGAATGAAGAAATGAATGGGTCTTATTGACCTCAAAATATATCTCTATAGAAGTCAAGTCAAGCATGTCTTACCACGAAGGGGTCAAACATCCCAGTGGAACTAGCATTTGAGTAGTCTGTAATATGGTATTTATTTCTTGTTAACTTCCAGAGGAGCCAAGTATCTATTGTACCAAAGAATAACGACCCATTTTCTGCCTTTCTTTGCAACTGCAATAAATGAAAAAAAAACATTATAATTTATATTCTAGCCATGTGAGATTGCTATTTTGAATAATTGGCTGATGCAGTAATAATCAATTGACTAGGGCTAGCCTTGAATTTGAATTTAATCTTACATTAATTTTACTCTTAATTTGAATTTAATCAGCAAAAAAATTTTATCATCTGAGAAAGCATTTTTTAAACAATATTAGTAAGTCTGCCAAATTTGGTCCTGATTGACTAGAAGAATAATAGTTACAAGCTTTCAAAAGCGTCAAATATTTATTGAGCTAGTGTACGGTTTGGGTGAATGTGTTGCTAATGAGTCCCAGTCCCTTGCTCGTTTCAGCATTGACCAATAGAATTACCTCAGGATTGTTTTTGAGGAAATAATGGAGCCTCATAATTACCTAGCAACCAAATATAAAAGAATAAAATTCAATCATAATCTTAAAGATTAGGCTTGAAAAATTCAATTGCCATGATATGCAATGTATTTGTATGGTGAATTGTTTCAACCTGCTGAGTAGAAAAGTTCAGGACACTCCCAGCCAAGAACTGTTTACGTCTTGATATCATGTGCATAAACTTGGAACCAGCATGTAAGCTCTTAATGGAACAAATCAATGGGTTAACAAATGGACAAATAAAATCATAAAGGGAGAAAAGGAAAAAGGAAAGATCAAATGGATTGGAAAATGGATAGGGAAATGGTAGAATGGATTAATGGATACATATATGAATAGATGGATGGAATGAATAGATGGATGGGTGGACAATTGAGTGAGTAAATAGATAGACAGATGGAGGTGCAAATGGATGAATGAATGGATGGATATTTGTATGGATAGAGTCTATAATATAAGCTAGGATAAGTGGATGAATGAATTGATGTATGGATGGATGGATGGACGGATGGACTGATGGATGCATGGATGGATAGACGGATGGATAGATGGATGTATAGTTGGATAATGAATGAAATATAGTTGGATAAAGAATGAAACAAATAATAGATAAAGAGAATTAATGGAGAGAATCAACGGATTGGGACGAGAGAAATTAACAAGGGACAGCACAGATAATGAGCAATCAAGGCAACAACAACACACTAAACCTACTTTGATTGCAAGTGATTTGTTCCAGTTTTCTACATGATCACTTGCTCGAAGATCTTGCCATGTTATGAAATTATGCTGTGGTTTCCCAGTTTTCCTAAAAAATTCATTTCATTTAATAATTACGAATACCTCTCATACAAATATTTAAAAAATTTCAAAATACATCAAAATGTTTCATGGTTTTCTAGTAAGAATTCACTAAGATTTTCAAGGATTTTTACAGCATGGAAAGTCATACCTATCCCATGTTACAAATGTCCCTCGCTGCGTTGATATTCCAAGTGCTGTCACATCTTCTGGAGAAATCTGTTCAGCTGTAAAGTTTTGAATTAAATCGCATATATATAAAATGAGAATGGCTATTGCATATCTACAATATAAAGGACCTCCTTGCCTCAGGTTAAATGTAGTCTGATTTTTCCAGAACATTCTTGGAAAAATCATCAAAGGGCTAGTCACACTCCTCAGTATTAGTTCATACCTTCCATAGTTTCCCATATGATATCCTGAAACTGTTCCCATAGGTGATAAGGTTCCATCTCAACCCATCCGGGCTTTGGATGCAGCAATTCTATCTGATTATATATTTAAAAAAAACGAGAAATCAAATAAGGCTTCGTACATGCACTTAGCTGCACAAGCTTATTAAGGTATTGTTTCTGAATGAAAGGATTAGGGTTTATTTGTATTAGTACTATCGGAAAAGTGGAAAATCTTTTCAATCCCAAAAGACAAAAAACAAAATAAATAAATAAATTGTGACAGAGTCAAAAGACACTATTTTGGACAGTAATTATTTAGTCATAAATCTATATTTTTAATTAGGAATGCCTCGTGTACACATAGGAATGTAATTCTTTAGTTAACCGTTTGCGTGGAAAATGCGTAAGCAAGAAATAATTTCCGTACGTAATTACATTACAGTGAGTCATGCCTAGGTTTGGCGCTTGTTTACGTAAGTTCGTGTTTGGGACATCCTGTTTGCGCCTAGGGCGTGCAAC